GTCTGTAACTAGATGTTCTAGCTTTCAGCAGAAAAGTATACAATGTGGAATTTTTCCCTCACCTGACTGACAAATACCCTGTTTAGTAATTAACTAGTAATTAATTTTAATGAGCTCAAAGTGTAAGTACGTTAATCAGAGGCGCATCTGGGTGCAGTCTCCTCGCCATCAGAGTCATAAATTCCCAAAATTACAACATTTGTCATTCTGACATATACAGTTGTCCGCAATAGATCGTATGCAATCGTTCTCGCTCCTTTTTGTTTTCACTACTACTACTACTACTACTACTACTACTACTACTACTACTACTACTACTACTACTACTACTACTACTACTACTACTACTACTACTACTACTACTACTACTACTACTACTACTACTACTACTACTACTACGAATACTTCTGCTACTGCTGCTACTATTACTATTACAACAACAATAACAACGACAACAGCAACTACTATTACCTCTACTTGTGCTGCTACTACTACTATTACAACAGCAACAACGAAAACTACTACTACTACTGCAACTATTACAATAACAAAAACATTTACTACTAGTACTACTATAATACTACAACAATTACTAATACTACTACGACTATTACTACTACTAACACTACCACCAGTGCTACTACTATTATTGCTGCTGCTACTACTACTGTAACAACAACTACCACCAACTACTACTACTTTTACTACTCCTATTCTGCTGCTGCTGTGACTACTGCTGCTACTACTACTACTGCTACTCTAACAACAACGACAACAGCAACAACAACAACAGCAGCAGCAATTACACCTACTACTACTACAGCTAGTAGTACGACGACTACTACTGCTTACTGATCAGTGGTTGTTGACACAACGAAACAGAGTTTCAGCGGCGCTCATGGAAATATGACTCGTTTCAGTGCGTAATGCTTGTAATGCTTATAATAATTATAATAACCATAACAATTTAATAATGAGTAGATTAGCCAATGTAATATTATATTTTCAATAATATGATCTATATGCACACACAATCAATGTAAACTCGAAAGAGCACTGTGCCAGGAATGTATTTTGTACTGGAGTAAAGACGTCTGGGTTGGCTGGGGCATGTTTCTCGCAAGGACGACGGTCACAGACCAGAGGATCTCTTGTATGAGTAACAGGGATGAGACCTGTAAGAAGACAAAAGCTATGCACTTAGGGCACATGCAAACGTGACCTGAAATATATTAACATTGACACAGACACATGGGAAAGATGAGCTGCAGATCGACTTCTTTGGGAGCAGACTGTGAAAGAGACCTCAGAGAGAAAACCAGCCTCACAACCACAGAGTATAAACGTTTTTATGTGCATTGTGTGGCAGAGTCTGTCATTCCTGCACTGGGACACAGCTGAGGCTGTTCGTAGAACTAGAGGACAACTCCGTTGTCTCGGTGAATAACGATTGCTTACTAAAGGTTTTACATCATCACGAAGCAAGTCCTTTGCAGAACGACGCTCTCACCCTGTGTGCAATAAAGAAGCTCAGTCTCTCGCCAGCTTTCCTGGTTCGTATATTTTCATATTTACGAAGTCGCTTATATCCTGTGCCCATCTTTGTGTTGGTGGGCCTCTGCCCCTCCTTCCTGGTACCATGCCTTCTGCTATTTTCCCCCAATCTGCCATGGCGCTTGATATGACCAAAATATTTTAGCTTGCGTGACAAGATGCTGTTTATTAGCCAATCTTCCTTGATGTTCAGATCTTTTAAAATGTCAGTATTTCTTCTCTTCTTTGTCTGTCGTGTTCTGTGAATCTTTCTATAGCATTTCATCCCAAAAGCCCATTTTCTCTTTCTTAAGGACTGGGAGATAGTCCGCGACTCACATCCGTTTGTTTTTACAAGAAAGATGAATGCTCGCAACATGTTAATTTTGATCTCTTTGCTGGTGCTTAACAATTGACGTTTTAGGCTGTTTAATCTTTGCATTGTTATAGCCATCCTCCTTTAGATTTCTGTTGAACAGTCACCCATGCTTTTTATTATAGAGCCTAGACATTCAACGTTTGGCAGTAGATGCCACGTTGAAGTACACCTGCCTGAGAGGCCAGAAAGCAACAGTCTGCAAGAAAATGAGCCAGATTTGAGAAACGAATGTTGGCTAGAAGAAAACCAAAGGCCAGATTTGAAAAACAAATATTGGCTAGAAGAAAACCAAAGGCCAGATTTGAAAAACGAATGTTGGCTAGAAGAAAACCAAAGGCCAGATTTTCAAATGTGGCAGTACTTCCGGAAAGGACTATATCAGTAAACCAACAAGAGAAGAAGACGGTGGTGAGGTTTGAGATTTGAACAACGGACCAACATCGTGGCACACGGGTAGTAGCCCATCAGTGCTCCGTTCTTCAAGTCTACGACCGAAGAAGCTCAGCACAGTGCACAGGTTCTGTAACACCGGCGAGGATCCTTAAATACTTTGGGTAAATTTTTAATTCTAAATTTTGCCTAGGCGGC